AAGTGGAAGCTAAATCGGGTGAGCTTCAGTAGTATCGCGGTTCCGCTGATAACGCAGTCTACGACAACAACCGGTTGAAACAGCTCTAACAATAACATAATCTTCCGATTTTCCATAACCTTTCCAGTGTGTACACATAGTTATATATCATTATCTTGTTTAAAAAGTTCGGAAACCCCGACAAGTAATTATCGTAATAAACAATAACGACAATGTCTCATGTGTTTGGTAATAAAATCAGCGATTTGACAGAGCTTTAAAATTCTATCGATTGGCAAATAAAGCAAAGGAAAAAGAACAGCTAATTATTAAAACATCCGTTTAAATGTAAAGTATTCAAGATTGATTACTTTTTATAGAAATCAGAATAAAGCACAAAGTCTTTAAAACTTAATTAATTGCATTTTGAGTATGCATAGCTCATGTGATAGGCTCAATAAGTGGTCCACCCTAGGAAGTTAATGTGGCAAAACTAAGAAAATAATACAACATATATTCCTCAAAACTTATCACAAAACAGGGCCTTGGCCTGCTCTCAGATAAAGTGTATAGAAAGAGTAAAATTGAGAAATTGTTGGGACAATTGAATGAATGAATGACTGACGGTCTCTGGGTGGGGAAACTTTAACAAGGCGTTAACCGTTTATGCGATAAACATGCGAACCTAAACACTTTATTTTCTGTCACATCAATGCAGTATAGTAATTACTTCAAATTTGTATTTTATTGTTCCCCTTACTTTGATCATTTTTTAAGAGCGAATGTAGTGGATCTTTTAAAACCTTTAGTGTTAAACCAGATATTATGAAAATATGATAAGAATAGACTATTATAAAGTTTTGTGTTGCTTCTTGCTATAGGAACATATATTCTTGTAATTAAAAAAAAACCTCACTGCTACTGCTTTATTTACCAAACAAAATAATTTTTTATAATCAAATAAATACAAAAAAATTAGAAAAAACAAAGCTATTGATTTTGTAACTTTGATCGTTGGTATAATAGGTATTGCTAAGTACAAGCATTATTTAGATGCAAGAATTTAAAATGGATTTTACTCGTTTCAACAGAGATTGTGAGTAAACATTAGGTTTTTTGCAGTATGTTTTGTATTTGCAACAATGTTAAATAAATTCAACAAATGGATCGGCTTAAATGTGTTTAGTTTGTCTGCAATTCAGCAATTCCATTGACTTGCGTGCAAGCAAAAGAGCACATAGGCAAATATTTTTCCGGTTAACGTTTGCCCACAGGCCCCCGCATAAACACTCCTGCTGCGATGCTTTCACTTTCTCCCCGGATATGTGAGCCCACTCACCTTTGGTCCTCCAGCAGTTTTTCGGCCTGGGCGAGTCGCAGGCGGACGGTCTTCATGCTTTGGATGGGGAAGAGGCGACAGAAGCGCGTGAGGAACGCCGGCCGCCAGCAGAATCGCGGGAACTCCCGACAGACGTCCCACAGGCGGGTGTTGTGCTCGAACAGATAGGTGTGTGTCTTGCCAAAGTTCAGGTAGTCTATCATGTCCGAGTAGTCGCAGTTGAGCAGGTTCTTCAGGTTCTGCACGGCCAGCTCCTGATCATCGGGATCGCGGATCTGCTTGATGCCAAAGTCGAGCAGCGGCTCGTAGTGGTAAAAGTTGCCGGGAATGGAGTTCAGGATGTCGCCCAGAAAGGTGGAGCCGGAGCGCCACGAGGTAACCACCACACTGCGCACCGGAGTGCCGTTCGTCTCCGGCGTCATGTCCGCCAGTCGTTCGGCACCGCCGCGCGGATACTCGAAGTTCTCCATTTCGGCCAGGATGCGCGACCGTTGAGCCGACAGGACATCCACTATAGTAGCTGTCAGGTTGTAGACGATTGTGGACTGCTGCTGCTGCAGTTGCTGCTGGAAGCGATCGTAGAAGGCGCTGCGCGACAGCGAATTGGAGGGACCTCCATCCACGGACGCGCCCAATCCGCCGCCACCCTGATCCCGGCCATTCGCCTGGTTAAACGGGGTGGTCAACGGACGGTGCTGCGTGGTGGCGATCAGCAGCAGGATGCACAAACTGCTCACGCCGCAGATGCCGATCAGATTGGCCCTGCGCGACATCCGGCTGCGTCGCCGCTTCCCGTTCAAGCTGAGGCGCTGCTTAGCGCGTGTCCTGCCGGGATCGACGTTCGACGGGTCCTGCTGGCCGAGCAGGGAGCACGCCTCCAGGTCCGGACTCAGTTCCAGGTGCTCGTCCGAGTTTTCCGCGTTCTCCGTGCTCATTGGTCACTGGCTGATGGCTGGAGGCTGATATTTCTGGCTGCTTTCGCTGGCTTCTCCTGCTAAATCACTGATGGGCTCGCTCCCACTCGCACATAGTTATCACCGCGCCCTCAACTCGAGCGCATTGCAGATCGCTGCGGAAGTCGCGTCGTAGTTTTATCTTTGTTTTCCCCGAGGTTTTATCTGGATTTTCCGCGACGCGAACCGATGCGAGCAAAACGATTGACAACAACAAAGTGACCGTCGGTGGTAGGTGGAAACATACCACGGAAGCATACCAAGGTGACGGAAAAATATACCCTAAATATTCCATTAAATCACGGTGCCCAATCGCAAGTCACGGTGGAGGCCTTCGCTAGACACGTAGCCCGTACTTGAACCATTTCAGCCGTTTATGATAACTGCATTTAAAGGGGATTCCCGTCCAACTCTGGTTTAAAATTAAACTTTAATTTTGCTCAGCTGGGATCCTTGGGCTACATTATAGTTGTCAGGACATATGAGATCATTGCACTGCTATATAAAACTTTAAATGCGTTTTTATTAAAGCCAAGTTTAAAAATGATGGTATATTCTAACGATTGGGCTAAAAATTAAATTTAGAAGGCTCTTAAAAATATATACATATATGTATGATGCTTGCATTTAAACGCATTTTCAAAAGTTGTAGCCAAAAAATTATTCTACCACTTAGGCCGATTTATGTACATATTTATTTACACCCAGCCACATTTATTGTGACCACAATGGCTAAGCCTTTCCGATGATTGGTTCAAAAGATTCCGGAGAAAAATGATCAAAGTCCTGGACTGCGCGATAGCCCCACAAGTCCATGGCCTCGCCACATACATCCTGCACAGCCTTTATATCAGACACCTTCATTTTGCTCATCCACTCGTGGGCGGGCAGGTTGAGATACCTCCAACGAAGGTCCCAACCCAAGGACTCGACCCCATGACCACTGCGCGGATGCACCCCTCGAGAGCTGGTCTTGGGTCTCCTCAAAGGCAAGCCGTAGAAATCGAATACCAGCTTGATACTCTCTTCGGGCTGCAAAAGCAAGTCCTCATAGCGTATAATGCTGTGGGACATAAGATATATAATAACTACATATATATTAATAAAAGGTGTGGGAGGACTGTGTATGTTAAAGCAAGTTTAACACCTTAAGTAAAGGTACAACAAATATTTGAGTCCAAATAACTCACCTGAATCGCTGTGGATAAGCTTGTTGTAGAGTCTCAACCATCTGATGATCACTGACCATATCGTTGCAGAGGGTCTGCACCTCGCAATCCTTTTCAATCGTGCACCATTTGTTGTTAATTCGGGAATACGTTGTTCCCCGAGGATCACGGACGATAAGCAGCATTCGCAAATGAAGTCTAGGAAAATAATTTTATATATAGTTATAAGCTATCCCCAAAAACCACTCACCCTTCGCGTTCCAAGAGGGGGGCCAAAAACTTCAGTCGCAAGTTGTAGACCGCCATGTTGATAAACGGGTAGAGCTTGCAAATGGCGGCCATCGTCTCCGCATTCCAGCAGATCTCCTGACTGTACGTCTGACACATTTTTGCCTGGGCTCCGTAGAAGCGGCGGAAGACAGTGGATCGCTTTCCCCAGAGGATCATTTCCGCAGACTTGTTGTAGTTGCAGTTGTACAACGCCTCCAGCTCCTCCAAAGCTTGTTTGTGATTCTGCTCTGCACCTAAGCGGCTCTCGTGGGCCATCAATGGGGCATAGTGCTGGTAGCAGCCAGGTTGGTGAGCCAGATTATCCAGCAGGGTCAGGGCACCCGATCCCCGGAACGTGACCAGCATCGAGCGGATCGGCTGCCCACCGGTTTCCAGGGTGAAATTTCTCAGATCGCCCAAGTGGCGCGTCTTGTGGGCCAATATTGTACGCTGCAGGGTCACAGGATCCGGCATTAGAATGGGCAGCAGGAAGAAGATGAACAGGACATAGGTCGCATAGACAGCAACGCAAACGCCGGTGAATTTTGTAGTACGCGAAACTTGCACCATTTTAAATTTATAATTTGTCCCAAACCCCACACTTGCAATTTTTAAGTTATTCTAAATAGTTGTAGACTGTTTTGATCTGACAGAAGGTGCTTTGCTTCTACAAAGAAAAGGCAAAAGTTTCCAATTCCCAAAAATACTTTGAATAATTATATGTTAATCTTGTAACATGCTACCTTTATTGGCATATCATTCATATTTTATATACTTTTAATAGTTAATAATAAATTGTTATTTATTAATAACTAAAATACTAATATTGCTATGTTATAATACGTAAATATTTTGAATTTCGATTTGTTAATAGGTATATATTTTGTATAAGGTCCACTATGCTGCTGAAAATCGATAAACTTTTGAAAAAATAAAAGAGTTTCGGACTAGGCAACTGCACAAATCTGTAAATTTTGAGTGATAACTACAAATATTGTAAAATATAAACTAATGCCGATTAATAGTTAACAGCATATTTTAATCAATATCTATTACACCTCGTGAAATTTCTTTAGATTTCTGGCACTAAATGCGTACACCGCAAACATTGAACCTGCATTATACTTCAATACGTATATATGGTATATCTGTTATTAAGTCTGTTCATTCGTTAATCAAGGCAAGGGTTTCTGATGAGGATGAAGGCGTGTAAAGGAGATCTGATCCTTACAACCGTTGTATCTGCGAGTTAAGCTCATATGGCCAGCAAAATCAGTTTAAGAAGTTAACCTTAAATTACATGGAATATTATTGAAGATATAAACTTATAATTGTACTCTGAACATAGCTTATTAATGATCTGATGATGGGAAGTAGTCGCAAAAGTAAACATATCTTAGTTTATACATAAGTATTTGTAAGGGGATATACAATATTTAAGGATCTCGCAATAAGTATATCATCCTGCGATAGTTGTTACTCACTTATGAAAGAACTAAGGAACCAGTTGGCAGAGGTCCCAAATATAAACTAGGAATGCGGTTTATACTTGGGGTTGTTGCTCTACCAACTTTAAAGTACTTGCGCATACTTGAAAATTAATACTAAATGTGTAATACCATTACTGTCCCTCGAATGTCTTGGTTTATAACTTAATCGCTGTTACCCTCGGTCTCATCGTCCAGCAGCAAGCTTGTCGAGCCGTAGCTACGGAGTCTGAAATTGAAAATAAAATCAAATTAGAATATATTGTAGCAAAAACACATTCAATAACAAATTATAACAATATAAAAAATTAAATTAAAGCTTGAGGGTCATCTTTACTAGAATTAAAAAATATATTAGATTTTTTCAAATACTAGTTTTTAGTAATCAAATAAGTTATTAAGAACAGTTTATGTTAGTATGTTAAGTCAGCCTAAATTCTTACTACAGATTTTCATAAAATTAAATAATAAAAAATATATAATAATTTTAGATTCGTTTTGGTTTATCTCACAACAATGATAATGATCATTCCACTTCTCCAATCTCACCTCATCGTCGGATACTTTGAGACCGTCTAGGTTAATGCTGTTCCTGGCATAGCCCGCGCCTGCCGATTGTTCCTTCTCGTATAGCTGGCGGTTCAGCTCATCCTTGCTGGAAGCGGAGCTGCTGCCTCCGTTGGTCATTCCCTTCAACGGCAGGGCAAGATTCGCCCGACTGGCGTTGCTTCCAGCACTTCCATATCGCCCGTTTCCGGATCTTTGTCTCTGATGATGATGATGGTGCTGTCCATGGGGATTATCGAATTTCTGCTTGGCCCGCTCGAACTCCAGGTTTCGAGACTTTGACTCAAATATGTTCTCCTCGAGATGTGTGGGTTTGGCATCATAGAAGGCCGCTGCTGCCGCTGCCGCCGCCGCTGCAGATGCCGCTGCACTGCTCTGCTGCTGCTGGAGGAGCGTTCGCTCCGTGTGACTAGACCGCTTGACAGAAGCCGCATGATGAGCAGCTGCATCGCTGCCATTGTGAGAACTCCTCAAACACGCCTGCGAGTCATCGAAGATCTGGCGAAGATCGTTGATGTTCGGCAGACAATCGTTGGGCAGTTCCACGGCAATCTTGTTCCTCAACTGCACCCCGCCCATTCCCCGCAGCTGGGGACTCGGAGCACGTCTTGTTTTGGTGGGTTAAGAGGGGGTTAGGAGTTAGGTTGTTAGCCAAGCCAGCACCATTGAAAGGTTAGTTGTTATTAGAGTTAGTCAAAAGGCTTATAGGTATGTTATAGTGCATATTTTGGCTGGTCTTACCTATTCTGCAGGTGCTGTATCTGCACCTGTAGCCCCTCAGTCTGACCCACAAGTTCGTCGTTGGAGCGCTGCAACCTCCGCACTTGGTTCACCGCCGAATCCAATTCATCCTCAGCACCAGCTAGTTCCCGTTTGAGCTCCTCCACACGCTGGCGAAGACGCTTAACCTTGAAGAAAGGAGAATATATTTACAAAGATACTTAAAGAAAAACATTCAAATAATTGTTTTTTCAATTTTAGTTGGGTGAGTGTTTTTCTAACTTTTGCTTTTAAAATAATTTTTGTGAATGTTAAAAAAAACTTGCTTATGCTCAACAGGTTATTTTAGAAATAGAGTCGAACTACCTAAATAGCTTAAAAAATTAAATGAAGGAGCTACTTTAAAAAAAAGATTAATTAATTTTAGGTTTTTCAGGCATTTTATGTTGATAAATCTTTATAAAAATCTGAGTTGGTATACGTCCTATTTCAGCGCTACCCCAAACTTGTATATACTCATATCTTTATAACATAAATCCAACCAAATGCAACGACAATACAAGGGGCGTGTCTTCCAGTTATCAAATCCAACTGATAAGTACATGACCCCCTGCCAAGCGGTGATAACGCTTGGGATTGGAAAAATTCCCTCCCATTCACTTCACTCTTGGTTTCTATCGTCAAGTCAAAAATAAGTACGATAATGCGAAAAATTTAGAGCCCGCAGATTAAGATCGGGCATAACAACAATATTATTTGGGGGTAAACAAAGGGAGGCGAGGAGAAGAGCCCGCGAGAAGAACGGGCAAAAGCTCTCGCTGTAGACTAGAGCTTTCTTCATTCTCTCGCTGAACGTCGAATCGAGCAGCTGTTCTCTGGAGAACCGGCTGCTTATTTCCAACCAAACAACCAGAACAAAATAGGAATAATGATTGCGCAAAGTGTAATCAGCAAACTGAGGCCTTGTGCCCGCCGTTTGGCCAGCTCGAGCTCCAAAGCGGCAGCTCCCAAGTTCAACTGGCAGGATCCACTGAATTTGGAGAGCCAGCTGACCGAGGAGGAGGTGGCCATTCGGGATGCGTTCCGGGGATACTGCCAGGCGGAACTGCTGCCGCGCGTCAAGTTGGCCAACCGTCTGGAAACGTTCGACAAGAAGATCATGGAGGAGATCGGCAGCCTGGGAGTCCTGGGCTGCACCATCAAGGGATACGGCTGCGCCGGAGTCTCCAGTGTGGCTTACGGATTACTGACCCGAGAGGTGGAGCGCGTGGACTCCGCCTATCGATCCGCCGTAAGTGTCCAGAGTTCGCTGGCCATGGGCGCAATCTACGATTTCGGCTCCGAGGAGCAAAAGCAACGCTATCTGCCCAGCATGGCGGAGGGCAAGCTGATTGGTGAGTCCTAAATTACATATAAAGGAATACAGTTCCTGAACATTATCTTGTTTTTATCCAGGTGCCTTTGGCCTGACTGAACCCAACCACGGCAGTGATCCGGCTGGCATGGAGACCCGAGCCAAATACGACAGCAAGAGCAAGACATACATTCTAAACGGGTCCAAGACTTGGATTACTAGTGCTCCCATTGCCGACGTCATAGTTGTGTGGGCCAAATGCGAAGATGGCAAGGTTCGAGGCTTCCTGGTGGATCGCAAGATATCCGGCCAGGGCTTGGACACGCCCAAAATCGAGGGAAAGTTCTCGCTACGCGCTTCACCCACTGGTATGATCCTGCTAGACGATGTCCGAGTGCCGGAGGAGCAGTTGCTGCCCAATGTTGTGGGCTTCACTGGACCCTTCACTTGCCTGAACAATGCCCGCTATGGAATAGCCTGGGGCGCTCTGGGAGCTGCTGAAACCTGCGTGGAGATTGCTCGTCAGTACACACTAGATCGGAAACAATTCGGTCGCCCCTTGGCTGCCAATCAGTTGATCCAGAAGAAGCTGGCCGATGCCACCACGGAGATTGCTCTGGGCCTGCAGGCCTGTCTGCATTTGGGTCGCCTCAAGGATCAAAAGCTGCACACGCCCGAGATGATTTCCCTCCTGAAGCGGAACAACACAGGCAAATCCCTGGATATTGCGCGCCAAATGAGGGATATGTTGGGCGGAAATGGCATCAGCGACGAATATCATGTGATCAGGCATGTTATGAACTTAGAGTCGGTTAATACCTATGAGGGCACACACGACATACACGCGTTGATCCTGGGACGAGCCATCACAGGAATCCCTGCATTCGCTAACTGATTCGCCTTTATGGAGGCTACTAAAGTACTGCATTTACTAAATTGTTTTATGTTCGACTGTCGATGTGAATAAATGTTAATCAAATCGAATTGGGCGAAGAAGGCTGCTTCATCTCCAAGTACTCACTTATTTTCCCTCGACTGATAAGCTGATATGTGTAATCTGATCCATATATCATCCGATAAGATTTTCGAATGTGGATTTACTTACCTCCGCCTCGTACTGCTCGGCACGGCGCACGGCGTGTCCCAGCTCTGTGTTCGTTTCGGCCAGCAGCTTCTTTAGCTTGGCGTGCGACATCTTCACCTCGCTGATCTCCTTGTTGCGCTCGGACAGTTCCTGCTGCAGTGCTCGCACCTCCACGTCATTAGCCTGCATGGGTCGGCACTTGCGGTCGGATCGTTCTTGGTAATCCCGCAATTCGGCACGCAGCTTCTTGTTGTCCCGCTCCATGGCCAGTTTCTCGGACTCCAGGCGCTCCCGCTTGCCCCATTCGGATGCGTTCTCCGCCTGAAGATGCTCAAGCTCAGTGCGAAGTTCCGTGAGGCTAGAATAATCCTATGATTAGACTCTGGATAACATATAAGGAGCCTTCCTGCTTACCGACGCTCGAGATTCTCACGGGCGGCTATCTCCTCCTGCAGTGAGTTGTTAACGATGCGCATCTCAGCACGATGTTGTTCCTGAAGAGTTAGTAGCTCTCGTACTGCCTCCTGTTTGGCCGAGCGCATCTCCTCCTGTCGACCACGTACATCCTGGATCTCCAGCGTCAGTTTCTCAATGCTCTTGTGCAGCTCCAGCTTCTCACTAAAAATGAATCCCCATTTTAGCAAATATGATTGTAAGTTGTATAGTTTACTTACTCCCTTTCCGCTTGAAGGGTTTTCTGTGCCTCGTCCAGGCGCAACTGCAGCATGGATATTTTCTGCAGCAAGTAGTCCTCGTCAAAGTCATCCTTGGACAACTGCTGAATCAGACGCTTCTCCTCGGCAGCTGCCGCCGCATCCAACTCGGTCAGGTGCTTGGGCATGGCCCCCTTCAAGGCGAACTCCTCAATGTCCAGGTCCTTGACATCGTTGGGCAACTTGGTTACCAAGCCGTCCTCGCTATTTATATTCTTCAGGCCATCGGAGGAAATGTCCGGCGAGCAGTTTGCATCCCGTCCGTTGGCCTCCGCATCCTCGCTGGTGTCGGCCCGATGAAACTGGCCAGCGTGCTTCATCATCAGCGAGTGCACCTTCTCCATCTCCTTCTTCAGCTGCGTGATCTGCATCTCGAGATCGTTCTTCTCCCGCTTCAGCGAGTGGGCTTCCTTCATGGCGCCGTCCAGTTTGAGGCTCAGCTGTTTGGACTCTTCCCTGGCCTTGTTCCGCTCGTTGCGGACCTGCGAAAAGTGAAGAGTGAAAAGTTTTGTTATTGGATACCGGCGATATTGAACCAACTGGGAAGCCATGGCAACCGTGCTTCTTACCTTACTCCACTTCTCCCGCCAGTTGGCAGTGCAGTCGGACCTGCGAACACGGAGAGTTGTAATTAGCAGACAGATTTAATCAGGATTAGTTTATCCACCTACCACCACTTCATGGTCTTCTCCATTTGTGCCGCCCTGGCTCGAGCTTCGTGCAGTTCCCTTTGCCTCTGGGACTAGGGGAGGAGAAAAGCGAATTAACATCTGGGAATTCTGGATTGGTAGACCTACCTCCCGCGCCTCCCACTCCGTTTCTCCGAATCTGGCCGACATGGTGGTCCCAATGACGCCCACGCCGCCCACTTCATTGGCCATTGGTCGTCTACTGCCCACCGGTGCAGCGGTTGCACTTTGCGTCGTGGATGCAGCCTGTGACATCTCGCTGGTATCCTTTCTGGAGTCCTGGTTGTGGTCCTTCTTCCCTAGCAAAATGCCTAGCTGAACTGTTGCATTTCGGGCGTGTTTTTGCAGCTATTTAGAACAAAGCTCAAACCGAATACAGAAAATAAAATGCAGTGCCATTCGCGTGGGAGCGCCAACAGCTGTTGTTGTTTACTAGTCGTTGTGAGTGGTCAAGCTGCAACGACGAAGGGTTGCTTTTAAAGTTTCTTTTCAGACAGTCGAAATTATTTATTAGATTTCATAAAAAAATTAACGCGCACTCCCTAAATATTAAAATTTTTTTAATAATTTAGATCCATTATTTTTATTTTTTTTTTTTTTCAGTTCTTAATATTTAAGAAAAAATTACTTTTAAAAATGTATAATCAAGAACTGTTTTTTGTTACGTATTTTAATTATTATACTTGTTTAATGTATTTTGCGTTTGTCAAAGCATTGCTTTCAATTAAAGTTACAAGATAAAAAATGTAAAAAAAAACACACACAAAAAGCATACTTTTTAAAATTATTAATTCATAAAAATTTTAAGTTATTCGAGTTATTAAACAAATTTCACCAAATCTCTTCCTTCTGATTTAATATTCATGGTCATGACACAAGGGTTAAGGGTTCTACAGGGAGAGAAAAGAGCATTTCGAAGTAACGTCAAAAAGGTCACACTAGAAAAGCCGCAATCTTTTCGTGCAATTGTTCTTCTCTCTGTTTATCTATAGAAAACCTTTTTAAACATGGCCAAACATCATCCTGACTTGATTTTCTGTCGCAAGCAACCAGGCGTGGGTGAGTTCTCAAAGGAAGACCATTTGAATACCGCTGAAATTCTATAACTTTTACACTTTCCCCCATCCCATGCGGCAGCCATTGGACGCCTGTGCGAGAAAGACGACGGCAAGTGTGTGATCTGTGACTCCTACGTGAGGCCCTGCACCCTGGTGCGAATCTGTGACGAGTGCAACTACGGATCCTACCAGGGGAGGTGCGTCATCTGCGGCGGACCCGGGGTGTCCGATGCCTACTACTGCAAGTCCTGCACCATCCAGGAAAAGGATGTAAGTTAATTTAATTTTAAGATAAACCATTGTATTAATCTGTATATGTTTTATAGCGCGATGGCTGCCCCAAGATCGTAAATCTGGGTAGCTCCAAGACTGATCTGTTCTACGAACGCAAGAAATATGGCTTCAAACAGAAGTGAGTAACCTAAACAACCCCAGTATTATAAAATATAATCATCATTTCAATAATCCCTCTTATATCTTCTATTATTACAGCTACTGATGTGCTCTCCACTACCTCATACATTTATAATAAATTTTTATTGTAGTTTAATACATAAACAGAAGGTTTTGATAAATGATTATTTGGAATATCTTATGTCTAGACGGCCAGCAGCTTCTCTCCGCCATCAAGGTCGTACTGCAGGCACAGGCGGTCGAACTCGGCAGACTTCTTGTCCAGATCGGTGACAAAGTCGCTCTTGGGATAGAACTGCCGCAATTGCTCCAGGTTCCGGGTGACTGACTCCGCAGGCTTGGCCGTGAGATGGGCCAGCACCATCAGGTTGATCAGGGTGTCGTAGTCGTTGTGCTTCTTAAGCAGCGACTCGCGCAGCACGGAGTCGGCCTCCTCGTACCGCTCCAGACCCAAATGCACCACCGCCTGGCCGTTGAGCAGGGCCGGAGTGGGCTTGAACTTCTCGCAGAACTCCTGGTAGATGTGGAAGGCGTCTTGCATCTGCTCTGTGCCCTGGGCGAGGGCAACCCAGGCCTGAGCAAGCTGAGTCAGCGTGGCGTCGTCGCTGATCTCCTGCATCTTGGTCACCAGCTGCTTGGCCAAATCAACACGCTGCAGGCGCAGTAGGCACTGCACCGACAGAGCCATGGACTCCAGATTTGTGGAGCCGTGCAGGATCTTCAGGGCGTTCTCGAACTGCCCGTCGTGGCAGTAGACAATGGCGGTGGCGATGTGCCAGATGTTCGTCTCGTCCTCCTCCCCGGCCACCTTGTCCGTGAGCTTCTCCAGCAGCTCCTCCGTCCGCGAGGGTTGCTCGAAGGCTTCGTGCACCAGCCGCAGGGCTTGCAGGGGCGAGGCACTGCCCTCCTTGATGTCCGAGGCCACTATGCGCCCGGAGTCGATGGCCAAGTAGGAGAGGTACATGTAGGACAACAACTCGGCTCCTGCGGTCCCTTGCTCGGGCAGCACAAAGTTGATTGAGCCCATGAAGTTGCCGATATAGTACTCATTGCGGGCATCGAACAGCGACGAGTTGGTGTCCTCTTCATTCTGCTGACGGCTCATTTTGCTGATTATTTGTAATTAGCTGAAGGAAACACAATTATTTTCGGCTGAGTTGGCCGTCGAGTTGTCAAAGTTGAGCTGTCTGTCGATAGTTCCGATAACGCGATAGTATCGCCATAATTTCATTATGGGTATTCCGTACAGTGTATTCGAGTTTGTTTATAAGGGCTATCTCTGAACCATTATTATTATTTATTTATTTATTTAAAACTATTTTTATTTCTTAGCTGACAACTTCTTTTCCTTTTCTTCTCCTTTTTAGATATGCAAACATGCCGAAGGGTTAGCTACGATTATTAAAATCCAAAAACAAACCTTTAGAGAAAATTATACTTATTCAAATCAATTTTTTTTCATAAATTAAAAAAACACTTTTTAATTTTTTTCGGAGCAACTGAATTTGCACAGAGACTCAACGCACAAATGCACAACACTGCAAACATCACGCTCACATTCAAATTTGTATTAAAAAACAAAAAATTCCGGGTTGCTGACCAGGAAAAGTTTGGGATGATCATGGTTTCCTGCCCCAGAGATGAGTTGGCAGGTCTCCGGCACTGTTTGCAGGTCTATTACAAGGAGTTGGCAGCACCCTGCCGATTGCCCACATCGCTATCGATAACCTTAAGTGGCCACAGCAATTCATTACCCTTTGCTGTGAGCGTCGAGCTCTTTCTCCATGTCCGCCATCTAAGCTTCGTTCGCTTGTTTCCTTTTGTAAACTTTTTTTTAATGTAATGAATGTTATGAAAAAAAAGTTGAGCGTTTAATCTGTATTTATTAAGGGTTAATGAATTCCTACTATCAATCGTTGGGACGTTTCTTCTTTGCAGTGCCTAATATGTTTTTGAAAATGTTTTAGGCACTTGAACGACTTGCTGCACATCAGGCATTCGTTTTTCACTGTTGAATCGTGGTATCTGATTTTCTTTTGAGCGTTGTTTCGCAGTGATGTCTACCAGCTAAAAGGCATCGAAATGAAATGAATATAAGCAGGTTTCCTTCATTTCAAATTTTTAAAATGTTATCTGTATTTACTAAATGTTAATAAAGACCTACTATCCACCGTTTGGGTTTTGGACTTTGGAGCTAAAGAATGCTTTTAAAATTGGCCGTTTTCCGCACATCCTGCAGAAGAAGACATATTTTTAAATATATTAAAAATGTTATCTGTATTAATAAAGACTTAATTCGCAGCGATTCTGGTGAATTTTAAGAGATTTATGGCATTTGAATAATTTTCTGCACCTCGCACACTTCTTTTTTTTCCCCGCGGCAAGGTGGCGCTTGAGGTTGCTTTTGGTGGTGTACGTTGCTCCGCACCACCTGCAGAAGATGACGGCCGAATTTTGAAGGCCAAATTTGGCCCTCATCTTTTCGTCCAGATCCAGATGTTCGTCCGATCTGTTGTGTTCCTTGTAAAGATTTTTGGTATTAAATACCATGTCACACAGATGACAGACGTGACCGTGACGAAACTTGTTTCGCGAGTCTGCGTCTGGAAAAGGGAAAACATTATCGACGACTACAAATATGATACGATTTAGACATACCTGGCTCGGCCTCCGTCCAGAGGTACACCACCTCGGCGTCTTTATCGAACACCATCTGTGGAAGGTCTTCTACGGTCGCTGGGAGGTTTCCCACGTGCAGGTCGTCCTCGACTAGAAAAGAGAAAACGTTATCGACTTGAACACAAATTTATTAGGAACTTGACATACCTAGCTGGTGACTGAGGGGCTCCACAGGTGAGAGGTTCCCGACCTGGACGTAATCCACAAGAGTGGAGCTGGAGCAGGCGCTCGGCTTGAAAATGTCGTCTTCATTGTCATCAGTGGAGGTGGAGCTGGCTCTCGATGCGTCCGAGTTGTCCTCTATGACCTCCGCGTCTTCGTCCATGTCCTCCATGTCCTCCATGTCCATCGTCCTTGAGAGGTACAGGTTGTCGTTCACGTCCGGATTCCGGCTGCTGCTGCTGGGTGAGCACGCGCTAGTGCTGGAGGTCGACGTCCGGGCTACCAACTGTGGTTCTATAAAGTATAGATTAAAGGATAAGAATAATTGGAATCACGGCTAGTCTCTTTGGAACTCCGGGGACTTTGTCAGACGGTAAACGCCGAGCTCATTAAAGGCCAACCGCCGCTTTGCCTTTTTTCCGGTGTCTGCGCCTGCAAAGCGGTCACATACATATGTACAACATGTTTTAAAATATAAAATAATAATTAATAATAACCAAACACATACACAGGTATAATGCATTTTAGAAAAATCTATTAATAAAAACTCTTTAATATTGTACTTTACCTCTTCTTCATCCCTCGGCCGCTTCGGGACAGGGCCAGAATCTCCGGCTCCGGGCTCAGAAATATCCTTCAGATTTTACGATCTCCAAAATTGAGGAATTTGCCAATAATGAGCTTGATGCGATTTCCAACGAAATGTCTTTGTTTTTATAAATAAAAGAATCCATATCCATGTTGCAAAATAATTCTTGTTTACTGTTTAAGTTGATTTTCGATAGTTTTAGCAAATGTAACCGTATTTCTAGCTAGTTTTATACAACCCTTTGTCTAGTACGTTTTGCAACTAGCGCCATGTTTTTTTAGTCTTTTTCAAGACTATGGACATAGAGGACGTCGATAAGCTCATTAGAGGAGCGCAAGGATCGGGTGATGTAGAGGTAGAATGATTGATATAATGCAGGTACTGTGTTTGTTGTTACACGAGTGCGTGCGACCTAATTATACCCTTTACTTTACTTTATAAGCGCAAGTACGCGGGCATGCCACGCCCCTCTGACGCCCACAAACCGCCCAAAACTGTGGCTTCTACAGTTTTCATGTAGAAACAAATTTTAACTTAAATGAAATGTTCTCGTCAATACCTATCGATTGGCCTAAAAAAAATGTTATCGCGCTCACTCTGTCACCCACTTACTTAAAAAAAATGCACTCCCTCACTTAAATGTTGGCACACTTGCAATTTTTGACTTTAAATGTTATTTTCAGGCTTGTGTATCATTTTTTTGATTGCCTTTTTTTGTATTTGGTTAAAGAATAGATTATTAATTGAATGGGATTATAATTTTTTTTTCTATAACGTTATATAAGATATTTTACTTTTAAATGAAAAGGAACTTTTTTCGTTACACAAAAGTCTTGGCACACTTAACCTAATTATAGTATTTTTATACCCTTGCAGAGGGTATAATGATTTCAGTTAACAGTTTGCATCGCAGTGAGGGAGACGTTTCCGAACCCATAAAGTATATATATTCTTGATCAGCATGACTAGACGAGTCGATCTAGCCATGTCCGTCTATCCGTCCGTTTCTACGCAAACTAGTCTCTCAGTTTTAAAGCTATCGGGCTGAAACTTTCCCAAAAGTCTTATATCTTTTGCAGGTAGTATATAAGTCGGAGCCAGCCGGATCGGCCAACTATATCTTATAGCTCCCATACGAATAATCGGAAAAAAAAATTTAAAAAAATCATATCTTGGTGGACGACGCATATCGTTAAAATTAAGAAAATTAATCTTATTTAACTTATATAACTTAAAATAAAAAGTGCAGCGCAGCAGCCAAAACGCCTCCTTAACTTTCCCTCTATTTTTTCACTAAGTATGAAGTCGGAACTCCATTGCTTCGAGTTCACAGATTCCGGGTTGTTGACCAGGAAAAGTCTGGGGTGACCATAGTTTCCTGCCCCAGAGATGAGTTGGCAGGTCTCTCTTAAAAGGAGTTTGCAGCACCTGACCGATTGCCCACATCACTATCGATAACCTTAAGTGGCCACAGCAATTCATTAACCTTTGCTGTTAATGGTTGTGAGCGTCGAGCTCTTTCTCCATGTCCGCCATCTAAGCTTCGTTCGCTTGTTTCCTTTTGTAAACTTTTTTTTAATGTAATGAATGTTATGAAATAAAAGTTGAGCGTTTAATCTGTATTTATTAAAAGTAAATGAGGACCTACTATCCATCGATAGAACGTTTTTTCTTTGCACTGCCTATTATGCTTTTGGAAATGTTTTAGGCACTTGAACGACTTGCCGCACATCAGGCACTCGCTTTTCACTGTTGAATTGTAAAATCAAATACGACTTTCTCTCTGAGCGTTGTTTCGCAGTGATGTCTTCCAGCTTAAAGGCATAGAAACTAATAAATAAATAAATATTAGTAGGTTTCCTTCAATACAAATTTTTTATAATGTTTTTTGAATTTACTAAAAGTTAAAGAAGACCTACCATCCATCGTTTGGGTGCTTCTTCTTCGCAGTGCTTCCGGCGCACTTTAAAATATTTTGGCATTTAAAGTATTTGTCACGTCACACACTCATTTTTCGGAGTGTCGTGGACGGCAAGGTGGGGCCTGAGATTACTTTTCAAATTGGCCGTTTTTCCGAACATCCTGCAGAAGAAGACGGGCGAACTTTGAAGGCCAAATTTGGCCAATCCCTTGTCCATTTTGATGTGCGCGTCCGATCTTTGGTGCAAATTTAATATTTTTCTACTTTTAAATTGCATTTCGCACAGCAGACAGTAGTGATGTGACAAAATTTTTTCAGAGTCTCCGTCTGGAAAAGGGAAAACATTATCGACTACAAATGTATTACGATTGACATACCTGGCTCGTCCTCCGCCTGTTGGCTCAGGAAAGACGGTGTCCAGAGGTACATGATCTCGGCATCTACGGTGAGTTGCACAAGGGCAGCAGTTCGGCTGCCAGACAAAATGGCGGTACTTCTTAACGCCGCGATGCGACGGCTGGAAGTTCCCAAATGTGGTGGACGTAGTATTCCCAACAGACTCACCGGGAAATGCTGGATGTCGTCGGCGTCGACTGTGGTAGACGATTATGTCCGGTCCTCTTTGCGGGTCGAACGGACACCGGTTGCTGGCAAAATCGCGCAGAAATTCGTGGAACTCCCAATGAAATATCCCGGGGCCCTTTGTGTTGGGACCCCGGCTGCTTTATAGAAGATTATTAATAAATAACAAACTAACATGTTAACTTTCCTATCACTGACTTTTATTTAGTATTAAGCACTGCGACTATCTGATCATCAGCAGATATCTGATCATCATCGTTCCTCCCCCGCCATATTACAAGGCCTCTCCCAAAATTGGGTCATTGGATACATGAGTGCCATTTAAGGTAATCCCAGAGCGAAGCGGGATTATTCCTCAAGTGGCCAGATCGTCCGCCAGATTTATCCCGCTGCTGCAACTATCGCCCTATCGACCTAACCTATCGATAGAGTCCCTCCCATTATCGACTCCCATTGCAACAAACCCTCGGCCGGTGTGGGATAGAGTTTGCATTTTTGTCCCCGAATTCCTTCAAAGGGTTCACCATTTCCACAAAATATCTGCTTGCAAAAATGGAGCCAGAGCATGATGAGCTGATCTCCAATGAAATGTCCTTATTTTTGTATTTAATGGAATCCATTATTAGAATCAGAAATCAGAAATGCAAATATTTTAACTTGATCCACTTGTATTGGTAACTCGAAGTCGATTTTTGATTGCTTTAGCATTGGAAACGTATTTCTAGACAGTTTTATGCAGCCCTGTTTCTAGTGCGATTCAGCATTATCGCCGTGCTTTTTTAGTCGATACGCTCCTTGGAGGAGCGCAAGGATCGGATGATGTAGAGGTAGAATGATTGAAAGAATGCGGGTACTGCGAAATATACAGTATTTTGTGTTTGTCGTTACACGAGTGCGCGTGATCGTTACTCGTAGAGTAAAAGGGTATATGGTATTCGGGAAAGTATATAACAGGTAGAAAAAAAATTAACTGAAATGTATTGTTCTCGGTTATACCTATCGATCGACCTTAAAAAATTTGGCACGCCTAATCTAACGCCCACAAACTGCAAAAAACGTACATTTGAACGCTGTGTTCTTGGAAACTATTAAAAATAGATAATTGGGTAGAATTTGACCCCTAGATCACAAAAAGAAGTCAAATAAAGTTTTAAGGATAATTTATTTTAAGTTGTGTTTTTAATTTTATTTTGAGTTGCGTTTAACCACTTTAAATTGCCGAACAAATGAACAAGCAACATTGAGAAAACTGTGATTATAATTAACACGGGAAAATGCTATAGACGGTGGCCTCGACTATTAGATACCCGTTACTCAGCTTAAGGGAGTACAACAGGGATGGAGATATGCTTCAAGCAAATATGCTTTTTCAACTAACACACCTAGCCTGTAGCGCCACCTACCCTTTAACGCCGTCGGGCTGTCAAATTTGAGCTGCCTATCGATAGTACCGATAACGCGATAATATCGCCATTATTTTATTTTTTATTATGGCTATTCCGCACAGTGTATTCGTGAATGTTAAAAAGGGTAATTTCTAAACATATAAAACAACACTGGCAATATATATTAATAATCTTAATATTTAATATTAATAATAATTTAAAAACTTTTTTTAATTAGCTGAAAAATTTGTTTTCGTATTAAAACATTAATTATGCAACGATACCTAAATTTCAAATTGGATAACTTAAACTTTAGGACAAAACTCTGCTTATTTAAGTCAACTTTTTCATAATGAAAAAAAACCCAGTTTCTACTTTTGAACGCTCGCCAACAATTTAAAGCAGGAAAGTTCAAGCCCTATGTAGGTCACTTCGGATAAGAGCAAGCAAGATAAGCCAACAAGAAGTAAATAGAATTTTTATCGTCGCTAATCCAAAATATAATTTATTTTTGTCTTTAGCATAAATGTGTTTGTCGTTACACGAGTGCGTGCGATTTTAGTTTAGTTTGCTTGTAAGAGCACTGCCATTGGTCCAAGTGAAAGTTTTTGACAGTAACTTTGTTAAAAAAATCTTTTTTTTTAACCGGTTGTTTAAAAAACATCATTACTGTAGCGTATCAATCGTGTATTAATTAAATTCAAATATGTAGGTGCTAAACATTTTTTTCGGAACCGTATTCATGGTGTTACTTTAACAATTCTGTTAATATTTCTTGACTGATAATGTATCCAGAAAAAGTAGTATAATATATACTATTTGCATAATAGTAATAATAATAATGGTCTATACAATAAAACACATTTATTTATTACAAAAATATTTGGTTGTATATTAAGTGTTAACACTGTGATTTTGGACGATTAAAATTCAAAAAGATTATCACCTTTATCGCTAAGCCCTCGGTTTTCAGTGCTGCACAGATCAATTCCATTCGCAGATGTTTGTTTGAAAGCTGTATTATACGTTAAAAGCTAACGATTTTTCTGTGGCAATCCGGTTTGACTAGTTCCAATAATTGAGCTTTAATATTGCATTACATTTGACCGCAGAACGCAGTTCCACAAGCAAATAGTTGCAGCCTAGTTTGAATACAAACTACTTTGCCTTTCTAATCTCAGAATTGAAGACCCAGTGTTTTTTATATTTGTTATCAGCAATGTACAATCCGAAGAGCAAAAACCTTGACATCGAATACTTCCCGAGCTATCATACCACACGGTTTCAAGACCAACCGGAGCCGAATATTGCCGTGCTGGAGCACTTTATACGGCTAACCCAGCAGCGTAAGCATGTGGGGATCCTCTTGAAAGATCATAGTTTAAGGATAATATTACAGATGAAAAGGACTTAACCACGAAGCAGGGCATAAGCGTGGACCACATGCGCTATGGAGCAGGTCGTCGGCTGGTGGACGTGTTCTACAACGAAAGGACGCCCAATCAGGCGCCGCTCTTCGTCTTCGTGCACGGCGGCTACTGGCAGGAGTTGGACATGAGCACATCCTGCTCCATCGTGGGTCCTCTGGTGCGGCGTGGCTACCGCGTGGCCGTCATGGACTACAACCTGTGCCCCGCCGTCAGCCTGGAGACGCTAATATCGCAGTTCACCGACTTCCTCAACTGGATCTTCGACTACGCCGAAATGACCAATGTGCTGGAGATCACCTTTGCCGGTCACTCGGCCGGCGCCCACTTGCTGGCCCAGATTCTGAAGCACCAGGACATGATCAACCCGCAGAGGAGCAAGATGGTCTGGGCCTTGGTCTTTCTGTGCGGCGTTTACGATCTGCGGGAGCTGTACACCCTCGAATCGGTTAATCCGAAAAACATTCTGGGTCTCAACCAGCGGAATGTGGAGGCCGTGTCGCCCATGCTTTGGGAGTACACCGATGTGGGCATTTGGAGCTCCACCAAGATCTACGTGGTGGCTGCTGAGCACGACAGTACCACATTCATCGAGCAGAGTCGCCGCTTTTCCGACGTGCTAAAAAAGAGCGGATTCAAGTCCAGCTTTAAGATCTTTCAAAAGTACGACCATTTCGATATTATCGAAGAGACGGCCCTCGACGAATCGGACATATCCAAGTTCCTGCGCAACATCCGAATTGAATAAACTATACGCAGCCCCGATTTCAGTTATCTTTTCTCACCATTCTGTTTATTTTGTACAACTAACTTAGACTAGTAGTATTCCATATGTACACTAGAGCGTATATTTGTGGCTTGCACCCGGAGGGTACGGACTTTGTAATAAATTAGCGTGGCGGGGTTTGTATGGATGATTCGATTACCGAAAGTATGTTAGGGGCAACAGTAAGGTTTAAACAACCTATGCAATGTTATTTTGTGAACGCAATAAGGGAATAAATCAAGCAAATTTTGTTGTACAATTATTTATAAAATTGATTCTGCTTAATTTCTAGTAAGTGACAAATATATTTTGGAATCTTAATGTTTGGGGTGACAATAATGTTTGAACAAGCCAATAAATATTAATTCTTTGAACCTAACAAGGAAATAAATCCGGCAAACTTGTTTGTACAATTACTTCTAAAAATTTGTTAAGGCTGCTAAATGATTTTGCACTTAATTTCTAATATGTGACAATTGAAGATACTTTTGAATCTTGATCGCTTAAATTTGCATAAACACAAGTTTTATTTCGAAAGCGTTCTAGTATTCTCTTTTAAAAACACAACTGAGCAAACATGCTTTCTTCGAAACTAATCGAATAAGTTTTAAAGATTCTAGATATCTGTGAGTCTAGATATACAGGAAAGCTTTTGAATAGCCATATTTAAGTTATTAAGATTCAATTCGGTCCAAATATTGAATGAATTTGATGAAGAAATACTTTTAGGCCCAATGCATATTGATAAGTTAACACGATCATCCTACAACATGGGGTTATTTGTGTAAACAAAAATACATTTAGCAAACCGAACCTAATCAGGAATAAATTGGAACATATTGAATAAATAAACTTAACTAGGAGTGCAGCCAGGGCTGCGTGTACGACTCTTTCTATGACTCCTCATCCGAAATGACAATCTGGTCTGCGATTACAGGCTTGGCACTCGGCAAGGGATTGGGGTTTGTGTGCGGATTTTGCACGCGGACGAAGTTGGCGTTCAGACTAGAGACTGACATAATCTTCAGCTTGCCGTTGGGCGGGGCTACGTCAATCTTACTGCCAGTCTCGGCTCTCGTTATATCTATCACATCCTCCTCCTCGGCGGGCGCCAACGGATCTTTCTTTGGTGATGTTTCCACTACCGCCTCGGAGTCGGCATCACTCACTTCGCCGTTGGTCTTGAAGTTGTCCACAAACTTGTCCACATCATCCTCGTCCTCCGAATCCTCATCTTCCTCCTCCGAGTCCTCATCCTCGTCGTCGAGTTTTAAGAGCTTCAGATTGATGTAACGTTTTGTTTCGTTTCCGTTTCCACGAGCTGATGAATTTTTCATCAAGGCAGCGATGGCGGCAGCTTTAGCTGCTGCCTGGGCACTTGTGCAGGGCTTGTCGTCGTCTACCGCCAAAGCAGCCAGCTTGGCGGCCTCCTTCTCTGCCTTTTCCTGCTTCAGTTTTTTCTCCTTCAGCCGCGCCTCCTGACGCTCCTCCGCATTGAGATCCTGCTCGCGGGCATACCTTAAATAATTGCAAAATTTTAGATTGGACAATTATATTGAATTCAGCACTGCTCTGTTCTCGATGTGCGCAAATGTGGTAAGATTCTATCTAAATTTCAACCTTTACCGATTATTAAAAAATAATAAACCCTATTAAACAGAGCAGATCTGAAATTCTTGACTAGTGCTCACTTTTCCAGAACATCACTTATTTTCTTATGTTTTTTGTTGTTCTCCTTCAACTTTGCGAGCAGCACGGGATCGCTGGTTGCCGGATCCTTGACATTTGCCGTGAAGTGGGTTACGGTTTCGTAAAGATCCGTCTTCCGACGCGACTGCAGCAGTTTACCAACCTTTGCAAAGGCATCGTAGGCTGAAAAAGTACATATGTTAACTAAATATTCTTCTTGCTAGTCACAAGTGATGCCTTACCTATTCTCTTCATCTCGAATTTGGCCAGTCCGAGTTCCTTCTCCTTATTACAGTGCTCCAGAATCTGGAGCACATCGTGGTAATCAGGAAACTCTCGCATCCTGTTGACAAAGGCCGACAACGTGCGATTGAAGTGCGGGTAGGCCGTGTCCTTGAATTGAATGGGCGGCTTCAGCTTGCGACTGGCTCTCTTGCTCTCGCCGGTAAGATCACAGATTTTTTCGTATATTTGGCAGGCGCGCTTCTTGAATCGCTCCACCTGAAGATAGCTGGAGTCGTCGTCATTCAAGTCCACATCGGCGTCCTCTAGCATCTTTATCCGCTTGGTGATTGTGTACAACGTGCGATTCAACTGTCGGATACGTTCATTCAAACGTTTGTCGGTAGTGGGCGAATCGGATTCCTCTTCCAGCTCCTCCTGATCGTCTACCCACACCGGAGTCTGCTCCTGTTCCCGCTCTCTCCCCCATGGCTGCTGCTCCATCGGCATGAATGATCTAGAATGTGGGGATTCCCTTGCGGACGGTACTGCATTTCCTCTCGGGACTTCATTAACAACCATCTGCGCCATCAGCTCATCCACCACGTTCTTGAGGTGTACGTACACCACGTTCGGCTGACTTCGGATCCGTGCCATGGTCATTTCGAGCAAATGGCGAAAGCCACGCGACATCACGAAGCTGTCGGGCGCACTATAGTAATACCTTGTCAATTTCCCATTAGCCAGGCGCTCCATGTCTTCCGATGGGTCCACTTCGCGACACAGCTTAATGAGAGCCGCGTACTCTGTTGTAAAAGGCGCTACAGCTGGCGGCGCAGCTTCCTGGGGCCTTTTCATTGGAAAAGACTCCTCCTTCCTTCGCTTTTCTGGCGGGGACTCGGGTAATTCATCTAAATCCACTATTTCTGTAATAACATTTACACACTGCCTCATGGAAGGAGTTGCCGAAGCAGGTCTTTTCAGGTTATTAGGTTTCTTATCTATTGTAATCGACTTGATCGTCGGGGTTTTCTCCTTGGAGTTTGTACTGCGCTCCGTTTCCGGTTTGTCCGTGGGCGGCGTAGTGGGCGGGGACTCCACGAGCACAATTGTTGGCGTCGAGGTGGGCTGCAACTGACCGCGCTGCTTTTGCTGCTGCTGCTGTTGCTCGAGAATATACCTCCGCCATTCCTCGTCGGATTTCTTGAGCACTGTGATGGGCTGGATGCGTTTGGGGGTGCTTGCTGGAGTCTTGGTCACTGGAGAAATGCTTGCCCCGGGCAGGGAGTTCAATTTGAAGGCTGCCGCCTTGGCTAGCTGTTGTTGCTGCACTGCTGCTGGAGTTCCAGCTGGCGGAGGAGTTGTCGTGGGCGTTAGCTGAGGCGTAATGCTGGTGGTGGGCGGTAGGTTGAGCAGCAGCGGCTCATTCAAGGCGGCCGCACAATGTGGCGGCGTGGCCAGAAGACGCTGCGGTGGAGTGGCACTGGTTGTGAATCCCTGGAGATGCGTTGAAGGTAGTGGCAGATTGGCCGGCTTGTGGGATGAGCTTCTGAAGGGCAAAGTACGAGCAGCACTCATGATGGCGGCTGCGGCGTTGACTACGCCAGCAGACTGAGCTTTCACCTGAAAGACTGCTCTACTGTTGGGAGGCACCGGCGTGATCTTGGCCACTGTCGCAGGTCTAACCATCGCTGGTCGGTGTGCAAAGGGAGGAGTTTGCATTGGCGTATGTGGCGGTGGCTGCTTTTGCAATAGATGAGCGGGTGGTGGTGTCTGCTGGGGAAATATCTGCCGGGGAAATAACTGCTGAGGGAATATCTGCTTGGGAGGTACCTTCGTCACCGTAGGCGCCCTCTGCAACATGGGTAGCTTCTGAATCGTCATTGATTTGTGTGTGATTTGGTTGACCACGGGCAACGACGGTTGCTGAGCTGGACCTTGTTGGCTTATCACAGAATTTATTAGTTGTTGGGCCATCTGTGCCTTTGGTGACTGCTGGCGCGGGGTCGTCGTCAAAGGATTTTGTTGCAGGAGCTGTGGCTGAAGTTGTGGCCGCAGCAGACCCATCGGTGCCTTTGGAACCTGCGGCTGACCAAAAAGAACCTTTTGCTGCTGCTGTATTAGTCCCAGGATCGACTTCTGTGGCACGTGTTGCTGTTGGAACTGACCCATCATGCCTCCCTGTTGCTGTTGCAGTTGTCCTATGGATATTCGTTGCTGTTGCAGTTGCAGGAAGGCTATTTGCTGTTGTTGCAGTTGAAGTTGACCAACGGGCGTCTTTTGTGGCTTTTGCTTTTGCTGGACTGGCCCAAGGGAAGTCTTCTGTTGTGGAAGTTGTACTGTGGTTATCTTCTGTGGCAGTATCTGCGACGGGGACGTTTTCTGTAGCTGTTGTCCCACGATGGCCTTTGGTTGCTGCTGTAGCTGTTGTCCCACGATGGCCTTTGGTTGCTGCAGTTGCTGTTGTCCCACAATGGCCTTCGGTGGCTGCTGCTGCTGTTGTCCCGCAATGGGCTTCGGTTGCTGCTGTGGCTGTTGTCCCACGATGGCCTTCGGTTGCTGCTGTGGCTGTTGTCCCACGATCGCCTTTGGTTGCTGCTGCAGCTGTTGTCCCGCAATGGGCTTCGGTTGCTGCTGTGGCTGTTGTCCCACGATGGCCTTTGGTTGCTGATGTAGCTGTTGTCCCACGACCGCCTTTGGTTGCTGCTGTAGCTGTTGTCCCACGATGGCCTTTGGTTGCTGCAGTAGCTGTTGTCCCAGGATGGCCTTCGGTGGCTGCTGTAGTTGTTGTCCTACGATGGCCTTCGGTGGCTGCTGCAGCTGTTGTCCCACGATGGCCTTTGGTTGCTGCTGCTGGAGCTGTCCCACGACCGTTAATTTCTGTGGAACTGGCTGTTGGAGCGGTTTTGCCAGCGGCTTTGGCTGTGATTGCAGTGGTTTCGGTTGCTGCTGCATCGGAGTAGCCAAGGATCTAGGTAGATGCTGCTGTTGCACCTGCTGTTGCTGCAGTTGACCCAGCGAAGGCCTCTGTTGCTGCTGTCCTGCAATAATCCTCTGTTGCACTTGCCCTTGTAGCGTCTTCTGCTGCTGTTGTTGGTGCAACATTTGTCCCATTGGGGCTTTTGGCTTGGTTACACCTACAATTATTGGCTTCTGCTGCTGGGGCTGGGGCTGTAGCTGTTGCTGTCGCTGGGGCTGACCTATTACAACCGGCGGGCGAGACATCGGCAACACTCGGATGGGCGACTGGATGACTTTGGCTCCGGCTGTCACCCGTATTTGGTTGCCAGGCGTCACCCTCACCTGGTGACTGGGCACTGGGGTTATCAGGGCATTGGGACTGGGCGCTTTGCTGCTCACCGACCAGGCCACTTTCTGGACGGTGCCCATCTTCACCTGCTTCACATTGTTGTTGTAGCTGTTGGTGTTGTTGTTATTATTATTGCTGTTTTTGTTATTGTTGTTGGGCTCTGCCAGGGAAATGGTCAGATTTCCATTTGTGGTGAGGATGCTCTTCTGGTGTTTGGTAACTGTGATGCCACTGGGGATGTGCATGGATCGGAGGGGATCCGCTGGGATTGGAAATGCCCTTGCAGGTCCTGCTCCCACTCCAGATACTGTCACCACGGATCCCAGGGACGCCTTTGGTATGTTCATAAGTTTGGCGGGCAAAATTTGTCTGGGGCCGCAAGAAGCCATTTGTCGCAGGGGATCCTCGAGTCGTCTTCGTTTGGCTCCATTATTCGACTGCGTAAGAAAATAAAGATCTTAGAAAATTCGTATTCAATGATTAAACTAAAATAAATTATTACGTACTTTGGCCATGTTTTTTAAGTTATTGTTTACAATAAGTGAGTTATTTTGAATATACACAAAGTAAAGATCTAAAATTTTACGTTAAACGTTTAAGGAAAAGTTAAAAAAAAGAGCATTTTTAGAAAATTTCGGAGACAAATAAAAGGATCAAGTTAAGTTTCGGTTGATCTTTTTTAGATACTTTTCGAAAAGCGTTGAAAATGTTAGTTTCTTTTGGGAAAATATACATTTTTTGACATTGTTTCTACTTTCTAGATTCACTATAAAATATAACTACTTTTTTTGTATATTACTTAATTTAAAAAACATTATATTCCCAATAAAAACAAAACACTCAGAAAGATCACTCAGAAACTGTGCTCTACCTATCCTGACCATTAAACTTTCTTTCTAAAAAAAACAAAGATCTCAGAAAGTTAAAATAAGCTTGTTTCAAAATTTCCCCTGATCTACATTAACACAAAACTGCAGGCGACCTGTTGGTTCGTTGCATTTTAAATTCGAGAATCAAAATAAAAACAAACGAAATCAGCAGCGGCTGCCAATGCGTGTGTGTGAGTGCGAGCGATTTTGGAGAGTGGCGAGCGCGCGCATTGGAGAGTAGATTCGATTTGGAACCCTATCAGCGGAGACAACCCCCCGTTTTTTACCTGGCGAATTGCGTCTTAGTCACACTCTCTCCAGAAGGGGAGACCGCTCTCTCACTGTCTCACCCACTCGCTCTTTTCCACGCCTAGCGTAATTAAAGTCCAATATTCGCCACTGCAATTGCAAGTCGCCAAGTCTCCAATCGACAAGGTCTGGCAGCACTGCCCCATTTTTGCATCTGTGTGCGTGTGGGGCTCTGCATGTTCGTGTCCCTCGCTCTCAATAAAAGCAGCGCGAAAAAAAATTAATTCCACACTATGTGAAACGAAACACGCACACACACTCAGCCACCGAGCCTATTTAAATCCAACTGTACTTTTTTACACACACAAACACACGCGGGGGGTGTCCGCTGGGAAATCGGGAAATTACCTCTTCATCGGATTCCGAACTCAAGTCAACGCAAACCACAGACGCAGACATAATTGGCCCGAAAATGACAACGGCGCAGTGAATTTATTATTCACTTCACTCGCAGCGCCTCGATTCCGATTCCGATTCGCGTTCGCTGGCTTTTCTTCGCATTCGGAAGTTTGCACCGTTGTTGCCAGCTAGTTTTTCACGCTCGTCGCGCGTCTGTGTTTGCTCCGAGTTCGACTATATGTGGGAATATTCTCCCACATTTTATTTTTATTACGTTTGCCTGCCTGAATTGCACTGTGGTGTGTGTTTGTTTGTATTGTTGCCGTCAAATTGGAGAGTTCTAGTGCTGTCAAGCTGGCGATGGCACTATCGTCAAAGTGGCTCGCTACGCCAGGGAGGGTTAGTCGTCCGTGTCAGGTGTGTGTATCGGCTGTCGAGAAGGTGCCTCGTCTATGACAGATGGGTTTATCAGTCACTGTCAAAGCGGGCTTTTCCAGTTTAAAAAATTATTTTTATTAATTTGAATCTCTAGTTAGTTTATCCATTACCCTGAACATTGTATTGATACAGTGACTTTTTTGTTTAACTTGTTTTCTTAAGCAAAATCGTATTCTTTGTAGTGTGACCCGCAATGCATGTAGCATGGTCTTACTGTCACGCAGCTGGGTTTGTTGTGAAACGGAAATCAAAACAACTGGAGCAATTTAAAATAGAAGTGTCTGCTGGTGCACAAAGAAACTAAAATTAAAATAAATGAAATGTTTTAATTTATGTAAATTAGTAGTTTAAAGCTTCCTTCTTGTCCCACGGATGCTTAGCCTTTTTGCAAGCATCTAGATGCATATATTTTGAATGCACCTAGATGCAACAAACTATACACATTTTGGACGCACTCTTTTTTAAAGCACCTGGAACATGCACCTAGGAATGCACCCAGACATACCTAGGAATGCACCCAGATGTACCTAGGAATGCACCCAGATATACCTAGGAATGCATCCACGTGTACCTAGGAATGCATTCAGATGCATTCCTCTAGACACATTCCGGACGCACTCTTTTTAATGCACCTGGAACCTGTACCTAGGAATGCACGCAGATGTACCTAGGAATGCACCCAGATTTACCTAGGAATGCACCCATATGTACGCAGGAATGCACCCAGATTTACCTAGGAATGTTTTAATTTATGTAAATTAGTAATTTAAAGCTTCCTTCTTGTCCCACGGAGCAATTTAAAATAGAAGTGTCTGCTGGTGCACAAAGAGACTAAAATTAAAATAAATGGAATGTTCAACGAATGTTTTAATTTATGTAAATTAGTAGTTTAAAGCTTCCTTCTTGTCCCACGGATGCTTAGCCTTTTTGCAAGCATCTAGATGCATATATTTTGAATGCACCTAGATGCAACAAACTATACACATTTTGGACGCACTCTTTTTTAATGCACCTGGAACATGTACCTAGGAATGCACCCAGACATACCTAGGAATGCACCCAAGTGTACCTAGGAATGCACCCAGATATACCTAGGAATGCATCCAGGTGTACCTAGGAATGCATTCAGATGCATTCCTCTAGACACATTCCGGACGCACTCTTTTTAATGCACCTGTACCTAGGAATGCACGCAGATGTACCTAGGAATGCACCCAGATTTACCTAGGAATGCACCCATATGTACGTAGGAATGCACCCAGATTTACCTAGGAATGTTTTAATTTATGTAAATTAGTAGTTTAAAGCTTCCTTCTTGTCCCACGGAGCAATTTAAAATAGAAGTGTCTGCTGGTGCACAAAGAGACTAAAATTAAAATAAATGGAATGTTCAACGAATGTTTTAATTTATGTAAATTAGTAGTTTAAAGCTTCCTTCTTGTCCCACGGATGCTTAGCCTTTTTGCATGCATCTAGATGCATATATTTTGAATGCACCTAGATGCAACAAACTATACAAATTTTGGACGCACTCTTTTTAATGCACCTGGAACATGTACCTAGGAATGCACGCAGACATACCTAGGAATGCACCCAGATGTACCTAGGAATGCACCCAAATATACCTAGGGATGCATCCAGATGTACCTAGGAATGCATCCAGATGCATTCCTCTAGACACATTCCGGACGCATTCTTTTTAATGCACCTGGAATGCACGCAGATGTACCTAGGAATGCACCCAAAATTACCTAGGAATGCACCCATATGTACGTAGGAATGCACCCAGATATACCTAGGAATGCACCCATATGTACATAGGAATGCACCCAGACGCAACAAGCTAGACACATTCTCGTCTATGACAGATGGGCTTATTAGTTACTGTCAAAGCGGGCTTTTCCAGTTTAAAAAACTATTTTTATTAATTCGAATCTCTAGTTAGTTTATTCATTACCCTGAACATTGTAAAATTCATTAAGATACAGTGCCTTTTTTGTTTAACTTGTTTTCTTAAGGCACTTAGAACATGTACCTAGGAATGCACCCAGATGTACATAGGAATGCATCCAGATGTACCCAGGAATGCACCCATATGTACCTGGGAATGCGCCCAGATGTACATAGGAATGCATCCAGATGTACCTAGGAATGCACCCAAATGCAACAAACTATAAACATTCTGGACGCACTCTTTTTTAATGAATGCATCCAGATGTACCTAGGAATGCACCCATAAGTACCCAGGAATGCACCCATATGTATCTGGGAGTGCATCCAGATTTACCTAGGAATGCATCCAGATTTACCTAGGAATGCACCCAAATGCAACAAACTAGAAACATTCTGTGATCATGAAAATAGTAGTGAACTTGAGCTCACCACATTAGGCATGAAAATCGATTGATAATCACAATTTATTTCAACGATGTTTTCAAAATAATAATTTACATTTTTAATTTTATCAGTTCAGCTGATTTTTTTATTATAAATTATTATAGTTTGCGCTTCAGGGCTTATAAACAAAAAAATCACAAAATTTGGGAGCTCATAAAAATAGTAGTGACTACTAAAAATTAAAAAAACTTAACTAAAAACTCCAAAATATCTCAAAAAATCATAATCTCTTATTATCTAGAATCTAATATTTAGGTGAATATCCAACACGGAGGTGCAACGGCGTGGCATGGAATCGATAAGGTCTTGGCACCGCTTTACAGGAATGTCATGCCAAGCTTGCTGAACCACCATCCACAGCTGAGTTTTGTTAATTGGTTTTACAATAGGTACAGCTCTCTTAACATCCCCCCACAAGTTTTCAATAGGGTTTAAGTCCGGAGACTGAGCTGGCCATGTCATTACGTCGATCTCTTGTGATTTATTGTTTTACATTTTCATCATTAAAATAATTAACAAATACTAATTGCGTTCTTAACTTCTTAAGTTTTTTTTTTAGAACTTCTCACATCAAGTACTACTATTTTAATGAGCAGCCAATTTAGCTTGCATATTCAAATTATAATCAAAAATTACTCTAGGAATGCACCCAGATGCAACAAACTAGGCAAACACTCTAGACACATTCCGGAAGCACTATGTTTTAATGCACTCTAGACACATTCTGGAATGCACCCAGATGTACCTAGGAATGCATCCAAATGTACCTAGGAATGCACCCAAATGCAACGTTCTAGACACATTCGGGGCGCACTCTTTTTAATGCACCTGGAACATATACCTAGGAATGCACCCATTTGTACCTAGGAATGCACCCGATGCACCTAGGAATGCACCCAGATCTACCTAGGAATGCATCCAAATGTACCTAGGAATGCACCCAGATGCAACGTTCTAGACGCATTCCGGGCGCACTCTTTTTTAATGCACCTGGAACATGTGCCTAGGAATGGACCCAATTAATTCAGTTAACATAAAATGTCATTATTTAACAGAGCGAGTATGATAGTTACGCTGACAGATGGTACGTTTTGACGTTACGGCTGTCAACAAGAGAGCGACGTGGACTCGATAGTCGATAGAACATCGATATTCCCTAAATTTGGGTAATCGCGGTCTCCCCACCTCTAAATTGACACGTCAACGTCGTCTGTTCGCCTCGTATTTTCGACCATTCGGTTTTTGAAATTTGAAGCGTTCGCTGCGCCGTCGAAGTGAGACTTTCTAACTTTTGTATAGAAAGTGCAATAACCAAGCCACCCACTCAGTTCCCAGGCGAGCGCTAGCACAAGTCCGGCAAAATGGGAAGTAAGTAGAACGTCCGCAAATCTCTGCGGTTCCGGAGTGCAGCGGTTTTTGTGTGAAAGTGCCGCCCTTGTGATGCCGCTCTCTCTCTCGCACCCCCGTCGCTCGTTGCTTACGTATACAAAAAAGATTCGGCGTACCCGAAAACCGAAAAAAAACTGCAATTGCAAAATGGATAATAAAAACGAGTCTCTGAATCGCGTGTCTAATGCAACTGTTTCCATTCACTATTTGCAGTCAAGTTCCTGGAAGTAATCAAACCCTTCTGCAGTATACTGCCGGAAATCGCAAAACCCGAGCGCAAGGTGTGTATAACAAGCATTAATTCAAAGGTTAAAGTTGTCTAGAATGTTTCTAAAGTGTGGTGTTCCATACAATGTTTAGAACTCAGTGAAATTGAGCGGTTTTTCTTCGTTTTACTTGTATTTCTCTGAGGCTAATCTCTCAACTTTGACCAGTGTTGCCAGCGCACGCGTTTTGTGGTTGCTTTCACTTGTCAAAAAGCGAACATCGCCACGCAAACAGTTTGCTCTTCATTTCGTAGCAGACGAGCAGCCACCAAACCACCCTGAAATGAACTAAACTATAGCTAAAATCTGATGAAATACCTTTTATAGTACATTGCAATACAAATTTTCATTTAGTCTTCACAGATTTTGATATTTTTTAAAGTAAATTCTGCAATTTCCGCTTAAATATTATGTTTATTTAGCTTTAAAATAAATTAGTTTTAATTATTTTATTGTTTTTTATGAGTTTCTTTAACGATTTCATTCATAAGTCGCCCAATCCACCTCATTGCTTCTGCTACTTTTCTTATCACCTGGCTACTTGTTGCCATACTCCTATTTTATGCACACACACACACGCACACCTCTCCTACACACTTTTTGACAACCAAACGCTACGTGGAAATGTCAAACTTCGGCTCCTCCGAAGAGCACACCCGAATCACTGTCGACGTCAGCTTCGTTTGTTTTTGTTGCTCCCAGTTGACAGCGATGACGACTACATACGTATTATATTCGTAGCTAACTTGATTTTGTTTAAACAATTCACACACGTACAGTGCTCGTCGTATACACATGGGAAAGCGTACATGTAGGTCAACATAGCGGCAGTTTTATTTACCGAGTTTACT